GTCCACCATCTGTGTCTACCACGACTCACTTGTCCGTCTCACCCCACCCCCATCCCTCACCTGCCCACCCCCGCCCTGGCCCCAGGATGGACACCAGGGGACCCCCAGGCAACACAGGACCGGCATTCTTGTACTTGGGTCCTCTCTTGGATCTGAGTCCCCAGAAGCAGACCTCGAGTCAAGGTTCTATGTGCAAATGATATATTATTGTGTCCCACACCCCCTGTGGCCCCAGGTCTGAGAAATACACCCAGGACTGGGATTGCTGGCTCATACAGCAGCAACACCCTTGTATCGGGCAGTACTTCCTCCAGCAGGGAGCTCTGGGGCTCAGACCAATGCCAGGTTCCAATCCCATTGGATCAGGTCAAGAAAGGAGTCACCCTTGGCAGGTGGAGAGAAAGATGACAGACCTCCCTCATAGTTAAAAATACTGCGGGTGTCTGTTGAGGGTCCACTGTGTGTCAGGTATTAGGCCAAGCACATAACCCAGGTCATCTGCCTTGGTCTTCACCATGACACAGGGAGGTAGGAGCTTTTCATATCCCCATTTTACAGATGAGGACAATGAGTCTCAAAGGTAAGACATGACTTGCCCAAAGTCAGAGTGACTGGCCTTGAACCCAAGTCTCCAGGTTTCAAAGTGCATGGGCTCTTCTGCTTCCCCGGGTTGGAGTAGTCAGCAAGCTGTCCCCCAAGCTGGAGTAGGACCTGCTTTTTCTGAATCTCCCCAATATTTTGCTATCTTAACTGAGCAGCTGAAAACAGCACAACCTCCTTACCTCACATTTTGGGAGACAGAAGTCTCAAATGGGCCTTGCAGGGCTAAGATAAAGGGATCCACAGCCTGCATTCCTTTCTGGAGAATCCAGGAATCAGGCCTTGCCTTTTCCAGCTTCTAGAGGCTGCCTGCTGTCGTCGGCCTGTGGCCCCTTCCATCTTCAAAGCCAGCAGTGGCCGGCCATGTCTTTCTCACACCGCATGGCATCGGAAACGCTTTCCTGCCTCTCTCTTCCATCTTTTAAGGACCCTCATGATGGCGTGGGCCCCCAGAGAACCCAGGATCATCTTCCCATCTGGAAGGCATCTGACTGGCAACCTTAATTCCTCCTCACATGTAATCTAACCTATTCACAGGTTCCAGGGATTAGGATCAGGGCATCTTGGTGGGGGCACAGCACTCCCTCTACACGTCTCCCTAGTGGGATCTACCTGCACTAGCCAGGCCCAGTGTGGAGTACAACTTCGACAAAAAAGTGGGTGCTGAGTGCTGGGTGCTGGGCACCGGGAGCGCCTCAGCCTCTGGGCTCTGCTGTTTCTCTGCTAGCCTGGCCCTCCTGTCCTCTGCAGCTCAGCCAGGTCAAAACTACCAGCTGAAACTACCACTACCACCACACACAAAAACACACACACACACACACACACACACACACACACTCATCAAGGCAGCTTTGGTGTGGTCTGCCTCTGTCCATCCATCCATCCACGCAAACCACTCTCATCCCTACTCTCTCTCCCTGATTTGCCCATCTGCCCTCCGGTCCACCATCCCACAGCCAGCAAATGCTGCCTCTACAGGAGGCTCACCAAAACGCCACCTAGTGTCTCCTCCGTGAATGGCACCACTGGAATCCATTCTCTCCCCTTCACCACACTCCCCTCCCACAGCAAGTCTTAGCAGCAATTCCTCCAAAGTCCATCTGGAATGCAGCCAATTCTCAGTCCCGCTTCAAGCCTTAGCTGACTCTTTCAAAAATGACTACAGAGAATTCCAGCCTGTTTTCCCCAGCCCACCCATAGTCTACTCTTGAGGACCACCCCCCCCCCGCCCGACTAAACCCCAGCTCCTTGTCATGGCCCACTAGGCTCTGTTCCATCTGGTGTCTGCTAACTTTCTCCCACTCAACTTCTCCCACCTTCCCCTCACTCACTGCACCCAGCCACTCGGCCTTGTCTTGGCTTGACCACCCAAGCCCACCCGCAGGTCAAGGAGCAAGCTCTTCCCATTCCCTCAGCCTTAGACACCCTTCTCCAGGTCCTCATAGGGCTGGCTCATTCCCATCCAACCTCAGCCCCAAGGTCGTCTCCTCCGAGAAGCCCTCCCAGACCACTCCAGCTCCTCTTGCTGTCATGTTCTTGCTCTATTTCCTGAAATGATCTGTGTACTTACTTAGAGACCACCTCTGCCACTAGAATGTCCACCCCCAGAGGACAAGGTCTGTGACTGTCTTGGTCTCTGCTGTGCCTGTAGATCTGGCCCAGACCCAACACGTGGTAAGTGTTGAATGACAGCTCAGGACTCCTTGTCATCTTCCGTATCACAGCCCCTTTCTCAAATGGCTTTCTCTTCCCAAGCATCCATAGACCCTCAGAGACAAAATCACTAAACTCCATCATGCTCTAGGACTGACAGACCCAACACTGTAGAGAAATGTTAAAAGACCAAACTTCTCATGAGGGTATTGGGCTGGGTGAAAAGTGACATTGTTTTCTAGAAGCAGGGCTTTGGGGCCTGTTTGATTTATGAACTTCACCCGAGACGCTAGAGTCTAGCATGCAGAGCCATCCCCCCACACACACCCATCAAACTAGGTGTCCCCAAGACCCAAGGCCAAGGAGAAGTTTGCCCATTCCCCATCTAGCAAATCCCAGCACCTGGCCTCCTGTGAGCAAGCAACCTGCGTGACGCGGGTTTTCTCCTTCTCCATGCTAAATGGTATGATGGGACAGGATAACTTTGCACATAGGAGATGCTGAGCCTTTAACTCACAACTGACAAGGGTCATGAGAGAAAGAAATGAGGGATCGCTAATTGGGGGAGCTCTGTGCCAGAGGGAGAGCTGGGAGCTTAAAAGAAGACATTCTGTCTGTAAGAGGTGATTACAGCCGAGGGAGTTTCACAAGGGCTCTTCCAGGCTTACAGGACCAGAAGAAGGTTCCTTTCCCTCTGTCACCATTCTTGCCAAACAGAATGTCACTTTTCCTCTTGTCTCTGGTGGCAAAGATAAAGCAGCCGAACTGAAAAGCGGTACCACTCATGTGAAGTGCCTAAAAGGGATTATTCTCGCTCCTCCAAGGGATTCTGGCAGGCTATGCCCGAGGAGACGGGTTCCAATTTTAGGTGAAGTTAAGAAACATACTCAACACTCTAAAATCAGATCATTTTCATTTTAAGCTCAGGTGTACTTAGTTTTCTAGAACCCAATCTGTGAAACCGTAGCTTTCCCCAGAGATAAATGAGTGGAGGAATGATTTGCTTTATGTACAAGAATTTCTATTAGGAAGGATCTTTTTTCGATGGACCTCCCCACCCCGGCTCCTGTTAATACTTTCTTACCCATACAGGTGTGTGTGTGTGTGTGTGTGTGTGTGTGTGTGTGTGTATGTGTGTGTGTGCGCGCGCACACACGTGTGCGCACATGTACGTCCTCATGCATTTTCCCTGCACGTGTCCATGGCACAGATCAACACTCAGGTATTAGAAATGGAACTGATAGACTTTGCTGGTACCACTTGTTTCCATGGGGGACTGGGCTGGGGGGAGAGATGATGAATTTTTTAAAAAGTAGAGTATTAGAATCTTACTCCCTTTCTATAGATCAGCTTCATTCTGGAGAGCTCGGTGGCTATAATCTGGGGGTCTCAAACTCAAATGCCTGCAGGGGCTAGGAGCGGAACATCCAAGATGAAGGAGAGTGAGTATTAGGAAAACAACTGGTAAGGGTGGGGATTGTGGTAGATTGCCACGTGCATGCCCTGCCTACGGGGAGACAGTCATTTCTCAGCTGGAATTTAGGCCACATGTTGCCTAATAGTCTGATTTTTCAAGAGAAACCAAGAATATACATTTTTACAGAAAATTCCTCAATTTTCAGAATCTCCTCCAAGCCAGGCAGACTATCTGTGAACCAAATTCAGTCTGTGAGCTATGAATGAAAACGCAACGTCATTCCAGTGGCACGTACCCTTAGTTAGCTTTGAGAGCTGAGAAGGAAGGAGCCCGTGTAAATGGATATTTTGACCTCAGGTTTTCGGAAGTGTCTTCCTCATGTTGGCCTCATTCAGCAACTCATTCAGCAGCTACTTCTTTGAGCTTTTATACTGCTGGGCACAGAGATTCAGAGCTGAGCAGAGCCCAGTCCTTGCCCTACAGAGCAAGCAATCTCGTACAGGAGTCAGGCTTGCATAGTTATAGTAAGGATGATGATCAGATACAGGGGTGGGAGGACTTGATTTAGAAGGAAGAGCCAAGGAAGGCTTCCTAGAGGAGTGGTCATCCCTGTCCAGCTCACCCTTATAGCCTCAAGACATTGGATGGTATACGGGCAACTATGGCCCTGTTGTGATAATTTTGCATTTCTCCGGACCCTGCCTCTTACTTACAGCCGATGATACAGGTTTTCCACTTACGGAAGCAATACAAGGTGTCCCTGGAAGGTAAACAGAAATAGTCATAATAGCGAGGACCAAGAGCCTCCTGTGGGCCAGGCACTGTGCTGGTAAATGCTCTTAAGCACATGATTCATTCAATCTTCTCAACAATCCTACAAAGTAGGCGAAATGGTTGTATCCACTCTACAGATGAGGAAATTAAGAAGCATGCCCAGACCATGAGGCTCCAGAGTCTATGTTTGTAACCACAAGTGCTTGGAAGTCCAAGTTCAGGGTGCCGCTGGGGTTGGCTTCGGGTGAGGACTCTCTTCCTGGCTTGTAGGTGGCTGTCTTCCGTGTCCCCACTTGGTGGAGAGAGAGGGAGCTCTGGTGCCTCTTCCTCTTCCCATAAGGGCACTGATCCCACCCCTCATGACCTCAGCTAAAGCCTAAGCACCCTCCCCTCTGCCTGCCTATACTGACCCACAGGGGTCAGGCCCTCCCCTGTGAGTTGGGAGGAGGAGAAGGGGGGGCACGGTTCTGTCCCCAGCACCAAATACCGGCAGAGTGGGCACCGTCAGCCCAGACTCAGGCCTCACTGAGGGTCTCTCTTCCCTACTCCACCCCAGGCGCAAGGGGGATGTGAAAGCCCAAAATGACCCTCCTACCGGGAGACAACTCCGATTACGACTACAGCGCCCTGAGCTGCGCCTCGGATGCCTCCTTCCACCCGGCCTTCTTCCCGCAGGGCCAGTCCCTCAAGGGCGTCTTCTACCGCCGGGCGCAGCGGCTGCGGCCCCGGCCCCAGGACGCGCCCCGCCAGCCGGGCCAGCCCGAGGACCGGCGGCGCCAGATCATCATCAACGTGGGCGGCATCAAGTACTCGCTGCCCTGGACCACCCTGGAGGAGTTCCCGCTGACGCGCCTCGGCCAGCTCAAGGCCTGCACCAACTTCGACGACATCCTCAACGTGTGCGATGACTACGACGTGACCTGCAACGAGTTCTTTTTCGACCGCCATCCGGGCGCCTTCGGCACCATCCTGACCTTCCTGCGGGCGGGCAAGCTGCGCCTGCTGCGCGAGATGTGCGCCCTGTCCTTCCAGGAGGAGCTGCTGTACTGGGGCATCGCCGAGGACCGCCTGGACGGCTGCTGCAAGCGCCGCTACCTGCAGAAGATCGAGGAGTTCGCCGACGTGGTGGAGCGCGACGACGATGATGAGCCGCTGTCCAGCGAGGACCCCGACAGCGAGGGCCCGGCCCAGGGCGAGGGCCGCCTGGGCCGCTGCATGCGGAGACTGCGCGACATGGTGGAGAGGCCGCACTCGGGGCTGCCCGGCAAGGTGTTTGCCTGTCTCTCGGTGCTCTTCGTCACCGTCACGGCGGTCAACCTGTCTATCAGCACCCTGCCCAGCCTGCGGGAGGAGGAGGAGCAGGTAAGAGCCACAGCTGTGTGCAGGGGAGGCTCGCTGCCCGGAGGGAGAGTCTCTGAGTCCAGGAGACAAAAGAGTCTGCTGGACCCCTCTCTCCGGAAGTCCGCCTCCTTCACGCTGGCGCGGTCACCTCCACCAGGAGGCCTTCCCTGACTGTGCCGGCTGAGCAGCATCTCCAGTCCCTTCTGACGTCCCCTTTACACGTGTGTTGTCCACCTCCACCTTCAAACAGGAGCTCGGTGCCTGTCGTGGTCTGTGTTGTGCCCCCAGGGTGTAGAACAGTGTGGAGCATGGACGAGGCCCTCAGCCACTCTGTGGAAGGAGCAGATGAGTGAGTCCGGGAATGATGTGATGTTTATTGTGCCTGCCCCTAAGCCAAACGTAGACTACATCAAGAATTATTTCACCCACATGAGCCCTATCTCAAGCTTCCTAATTCCCTTGTTTAAAAATATCCCAGATATTTTCTGGGTCTTGCATATAATTTTTATTGACAGCTGTGCGTGTGTGCATATGTGCTCAAATAGTGAACATCTCTGTGTTAAGCAAGAGGATGTAAAATGTTTACTCCATGGCCTGGCAAAGGTGTGAGCTCCATTCTCAGGGGTGGCACTCGGTAGGCAGCTACCAGCAGCCAGGGGCTGGGCCGTGGTTCTCTCTACAGCTTATATTCTCAGTGACTCCCAGCAACTGTAAACAGGAGGCGTTCTCATACCCACTGGCAGATGAGAACAGTGAGGCAGGGCAGCGTGCCCAGACGCAGGTCTGCCTGAGTCCAAGGTCTGTGTTCTTGAACAAAGAAGTACGGGTCCCACATGGTAGCCTGGACTTCATATACCCCCACAGAAGTGTGTGATTGGCCCACACTGTGGTCCCTAAAAATTTCACTTGGTTGCCAACATTCAAAAGTAAAACATCTTGCATTTAAAAATTCAAACTCTCAGCTCCTCAAAATGTATATGGTCAGGTCCCCTGGCCTGCTGTCCACACAGCAGCTCTGGGTGGAAGCTGAGTCTGTGGGAAATGTGTGCTCCCCAGTTCAGCTTCCTAATATATGAGACTTTTGGGCATTTAAGTTGGGAGCTTTTCCCCACATGGGGGTGGGGAGGGGGAGCATGGCAGGTTCTAGAAGCAAGTGTTAAGACAGACCAAAACATTCAGACAAGTACAAATTATATAAGCAATGGAGAAATAGGTATGGCTGTATGAACTCAACATGAATATCGTGCCGGCCAGCATTTATTGAGCACTGGCTGTGTACCCTGCATGTGCTGAATGCTTCACAGGAACTCTCTGATGGAACACTGGAACCTCTTACCAGGCGAGGGTTTTTCCACATACATATATAATGCAGGAACAGGTGGCAATGGCTATTGCATTTATAACACATGGAGAGGGGATGGGTTTCTGACACTTTTTTATACACGGATTTTTAAAGTGAGTATTAAAAAAGTAACACTCAACCAGTAAAATTAATTTTTGATGAGAAGGGGGAGTGATGAGGAGGGCGGAGCTAGAGCTCAGTGGCCTGAATTTGAATCCCACGTGTCCACTCTGGCTGCACGTCTGTGGGCAAGTTACCTACCCCCTCTGTGCCTCAGTTTCCTCACATGGCCAAGGGGGCTGCACAGAGTCTCAACCTCACGATGTTGTGAGGATTCAGTGAGTGATTCCCCAGGAAGTGTCCAGAATAATGGCTGGCCCTGGAGCGTGTGGGCAGTGCTAACCGTAAGGGGACGTGCACCCGCCAAAGAAAGAGCGAGGAAATCCTCGTCATTTGAGACCTTCTGGAAGTACCTGCACACGGTATAAATTTTTTCTTGGCTCCAGCATCGGCAATCCTGACTTTATCAGGAAAATACTAATAAAGCTACTGTTTTAGTCACCTTCTGACACTTGCTTTTTTTTAAGGACACTTGGGCTTTTTCTTGATTCAGTGATAACGCTGTTCTTTAACTTCATTTTGGAGACCAGTGGGGTTCACTGTTTCACTTGCTCCTTGAGCACACGTTCGAGGGCCCGCTGTGTTCAGGCATCGCCTGGCATGCAGGGGAACCACAACAAGTGTTCCAGCTGCAAGGACTTCAGGTCCCATGGAGGAGGGTCAGTGACACCCCTGTGACCGTAAGCGTGAGTCACAACCGAAGGGGGCTCTTATGAGAGGCCTGTCAACTGCATTGGGGATACTTGGAGGAGGCCCACTCCAGGAAGGAAGAGGCTTCCCATCCCAGAGGGCTGAAACCTCATGGCCCACTGAGTGCTAGTTCATTTCTGCAGCCTCTAACTTATTCCTAGAGAGAGAGCTGCTAGCACGGGTCTCATAGAACCCATCTGTGCCCAGGAATGACAGATGCCCCAGGCTAAAACCACGTGTGCCTTTCCGCTCTGTCACAGGCTGCTTTGAGACTGAGCTCCAAAGCCACTGGGCACGGGCTCCCATCCAGTTCCATGCCAGACCAGAGGGACAAGCAGGCAGCCCGCATGCCAAATGCAGCACACAGACATGTTTGAGTGGCCCACAGAGTGTTCTCTTTGTATTGATTTAAAACCCAGGAGATTTCATGCTAAAGTCCAGACTTCCAGGCTCTCTGAAAACTTCAGCGTGGCAGCGGCCTCCAGCCTGAATTCTCCAAGCATAGCCATCAGGAAGTACCTAGCAGGACAGCTGCGCTCTCTGGCTGGCCTCCACCCCACCTGGCCCAGCTTCCTCGGGTTCCCCTTGCCCACCTGGCCCTGAGTTGGCGCTCCCATTTAAACGCCAGTCCCATGAGCTTCCATCCATCCTGGTGACAAACGCAAATTGTTCACGTGTCACATGTGGGGCTGTTCCAGGCACTGGGGTCCTGCGAGCGAACAGCACACGAGCTGCCCCTCCCTGAGGGGCTCTAATCTGCTGGGGCAGAAGAGCAGGGGAGGCGGAGGGGGGAAACATAATAAACATGATACATAAGTGACTTATAAAGCATTTTAAAAGATGAGGAACCCTTTGAATAAACAGAGTAGGAAAAGGAGAATCAGGGTGGAAGATAAAGGGAGAGGGGACTGGTAATGGAGGGGGTCATGAAAGGCCTCCCTGGGGAAGCGATATTGAAGCAAAGAGCAGGAAGAAGGGAAGGTAGAGCCATGTGGGTATCTGGGGGGACGAGGACCCCTGCAGGGGGAGCAGAAAGTCAAGGCCTGGCTTGGAGGTGAGGGGAGCCTTGGGGAGTGGGGATGGGCTGGAGAACACAAAGAAGGCAGGCAGGGGGCTAGGAAGTGGGAGAGGTGGCAGCCAGGCCGTATGCGCCCTCGGAGGACTCGAGCGATCTCTCCCGAGCCATGGAGGGTGGCGAGCCGAGAAGGCACGGGATCTGATTCACATTCTCAGCATCCCTCTGGCTATGTGCTCAGAATAAACCGTAGGGACCAGGGATCCCAGGAAGGAGGTGCCTGCAGCTGTCCAGGCAAGAGAGGATGGTGGCTGGACCAAGGTGCGGGCAGCAGACAGAGAAGAGGTTTGATTCTGGAATCATTTTAAAGGAACAACCAAGGTGATTTCCTGAGGACTATGTGAGAGGTGTCAGAATGAGGCTGAGAATCCCATCCTGAGCAACTGGAAAGGTGGGATTGCTAAGAAGGGAAAGCACTGGTGGGCGGGTGTGCAGGAGACACTAAGAACCGGAACAGGCTAAAGCTTAATTGTTTCCACCCCCCAAAAAAGAAATGATAACTATGTGACATGATAAAGGTGTTAGCTTAAGGCTACAGTGGTAATCTTATTGCAATATATAGATGTATCAAATCAACATGTGTACCTGAAACCGACACAATATCATATGTCAATTATATCTCCATAATAATAATTTTTTTTTTAAAACCAGCAGCCCGGTTTGGGACATGATGAGTTTGAAACGCCTATCAGACACCCTAGGAGTGACATCCAGGAGGCAGTCCTTCTGGGGTCTGGAATCCAGGGGCAGCAGGTGTGGGCTGGCAAGAGAGAGATGAAGAGGGGTTGTTGCAGGGACCTCAAGCCCTTGGCCTGGCCACGCCCCTCCCCCCCCCCCCGCCTCACTAGGGCGGGGCCAGGGTAAAGCACACCAGTCTGGCTGGTGGGACCACTGACCTCTGCCCCGACCTCCCCCCTCCCTCCCAGGGCCAGTGCTCGCAGATGTGCCACAACGTCTTCATCGTGGAGTCGGTGTGTGTGGGCTGGTTCTCCCTCGAGTTCCTCCTGCGGCTGATCCAGGCGCCCAGCAAGTTCGCCTTCCTGCGGAGCCCCCTGACGCTCATCGACATGGTGGCCATCCTGCCTTACTACATCACCCTGCTGGTGGACGGCGCGGCCGCGGGCCGCCGCAAGCCGGGCGCGGGCAACAGCTACCTGGACAAGGTGGGGCTGGTGCTGCGGGTCCTGCGGGCGCTGCGCATCCTGTACGTCATGCGTCTGGCCCGCCACTCCCTGGGGCTGCAGACGCTGGGCCTCACCGCCCGCCGCTGCACCCGCGAGTTCGGGCTCCTGCTGCTCTTCCTCTGCGTGGCCATCGCGCTCTTTGCACCCCTCCTCTACGTCATCGAGAACGAGATGGCCGACAGCCCCGAGTTCACCAGCATCCCCGCCTGCTACTGGTGGGCCGTCATCACCATGACCACTGTGGGCTACGGGGACATGGTGCCCAGGAGCACGCCCGGCCAGGTGGTGGCGCTCAGCAGCATCCTCAGCGGCATCCTGCTCATGGCCTTCCCCGTGACCTCCATCTTCCACACCTTCTCGCGCTCCTACCTGGAGCTCAAGCAGGAGCAGGAGCGGGTGATGTTCCAGAGGGCCCAGTTCCTCATCAAGACCAAGTCGCAGCTGAGCACCATGTCCCACGACAGTGACATCTTGTTTGGAAGTGCCTCCTCGGACACCAGAGACAACAACTGAGCCCAGAGGACCTGCCCCGTCGCCACCACCACCGCCAGAAGCCGCCCTCCCTGCCCCCTCCCCCCAGCTCTGCCTGCCCTCTGTGGCTTGAAGCTATCGCCGTCGCTCCAAGACGACTTCGAAGGCACGTGGGCTCGGAGTGGTCCCCGCATGGGACCGGCTCGAACCACACCACAAGAAGGACGTCTGCAACAGCCACAGAGGGGTCCCCACCACTCTGCCTCCACAAGTGAAGCCGTAGCTGGTCAAGAGCCCAGCACACAACTGTGTTGCCCCCCACCCCCGCCCCGCCCCCATATCTGTTCCCCCCAATAAGGAGATGGCTTTGTTCTTTCTACCATGTAAATAACATGCCCAGCAAAGACTTGCTTTGTGGGTCCGCCCGGAGAAAAAAGGACAAATGACAACAGGAACATGTGTGTTGAGTGTGGATCGTGTGCAATTAAAGAAAACCGATGAAAAAGAGAAAATGCCTTCCATGGGGCTCCGAAGAGGGGAAGCTGTTTGCCAGCAAAGCCAGCCCGCGTGGGTACTGGGACCACAACTGGCCTGTTTGCTTGGGTCGTTCATGCCTGGTGGGCCCCGTGGGGTTAGAGAACAGGGAGAGAACAGACACTTTGGGAAAATTGTCAGTAAACACCGCGTTCCCTTTCTGCTTTTCTTGGATTCCTCCCACCTCCTGGTCTCTCTTCCTCCCTCTTTCCTTCTCTTCTATCCTCTGTTTGCTTCTTAGGTGCTTTAGGGTTCTCAGACTTTTCCCCCAAGGCACCCCAATGGTTCGGTGGACACCAAGGGTCCTGTCCGCATTGCCAACTACAGGGGTGAAATCACTTCATTTTATCTTTTAAAAATACTGTGGATTTTCTTCTCTACTCCACATTCATTTTAACATTCTTTAAAAAAAAAAAAATGCTTTAAATCACCTCCCTGGATATAAATCTACATCTGGAGTGGGGTTGATGCTTTGGGAAGGTGGGTCATGGGCCCCCGGGCAGTCTGAGAGCCACTGTCTGGGGCCCCCTACGGCCTCCCCATGCCCTCCAGAAGCCTCCTGAGCACCCTCCCAGCACCCTCCTGGCTGCAATCTGCTCCTGATGCATGTTAGAGACGGCCCCTAACCCCCTCACCCCAACCACCGCCAGCCAACAGATTTACTCAGCCCGAGGGCTCCAGATCCCTTCAGTGCTAGGACAAGGAGGCGGCTTCACCCCCAGAATGAACCACAGCCCGGCTTCACCCCCACGGCTACAGCAACATGGCTTTATCAAACCTGCTGCTGCCTCGGCCATGACCCCTCTCTTGGGCCGGCAGCAGGAAGCGTGCTCTGACACAGATCTGACTGTCTGACCTGGTGGCCTGCGTCCGCCAGGGGCCGCCCGTGATATGGAGACTAAAACCCAGATGTCCTGAGGGACCCGGGCCCTGTCCTCCTCTCCAGCTTCATCCCGGCCTGTCTGCTTTGCTCACTCCACGCGGCCACAGGGCCCTCCGGCTCTGCCGACGCACCCAGCCCTTTCCCAGCTCCGGCCTCACATCGGCAGATCCCTCTACCTGGAATGCCCTTCCCGAAGAACCCTCCACAGCTGGCCCTTCCCTCACTTCCCCGGCCACCTCTCTAAAGAAGGCACAGCAGCCCCTCCGTCTAACTCCTCCTCCCCCGCTTCGTCTTCTTCATCGCCCTGTCGACCTTCCAAGATGCCCCGTGTGTTCCCTGCCACTCGGTCACGGTCTGTCTCCTGCACAAGGTCAGTGCTACTCTGGTGCTGTGAGTCCCTACGGGGCAACGGCGCTCACTGCTGACTCCCAGCACCGAGCCCTGGGCCCGGCATCTAGTAGGTGCTCCCTAAATGTCTGGGGAGCGAGTGAATGCAAGGAAACGGGAAAGATGGCCAGAAACCAGAAAGGCCTTCGAGCACGTCTTCTCTCTGTCTTGGGTGGGGAGGCCTGGCGATCTCAGCACCATGTACTGCGAGGCAGAGTGGAAATATCCTGTGAGTCACGAGGGCCTCGTTAAAGGCTCTCCTGAAACCTGCTTCCCGTGACTCACGCCTGAAAAGGAAGTTTTCCGTCTAATTAGCTCTACCTTCCCCAGCCTGGTGGGTGTCACAGCAATCGGGCCCTGCCGTCATGGTAATAATACCTTAGATTTGTGGGATGACCTTTCGTTCCCCCTCCAAAGTGGCTGTGAGAGGCAGGAGACAATTGAAAATGCTAAACAGAGAGAAACATGACAGAGGGCCGTGTACAATGGAGCCCTTGAAAACTCAGTGGAGTGGAAAGCAAATACGTTTTGGGGTGGAGGAGGGACCCCCAAATGGGCCAGCACTGGCAGGGGAGCTGGCCCCCCCGCACATGGAGGACAGAGTCTAGGGCTGTCCAGAGGAGGAGCTGGGGTCACGGAAGGGTTGAAACTTCTGCACCTTCTTGCACAGGTTCTGATGGGCGCTGGGTGTCCAAGACACCCAGATGTAGGCACCCTCCAGACCTCCCCTGAGGGACGGAGGACCTCTAGACATGTGCACACCCAGAACGCAGTGTAGGGTCTTTGGCCCTAATTAAGAATTAAGAGGCCTTGGAACTCCTAACCAGCTGCTTCTAGGGCAAAAGGGACCAACTTAACGATGACCGCTTTTGCGGTTTTTTCTGGCAATGTGGAATCTGACGCAGACAGCCCAGCTGGAAATCACACTGAAAAACAACCCCGCTCATTGAAGCGTGGGGGCAAAGTCCTTGCCCCTGCCCTAATGGGGCCTCCCTTTTGACCCTGGTACAGGCAACAGACCCCATACAGCTGGGAAGGTGGTGTGCGAGTCACAGCTCTAGGAGAAACAGCAAAGCAAGCCTTTCCAAATTTGTTTTATTTCTTGGGTCCCATGGTTATCCTCCATCTCCGATTTAGCTCTCGGTGCCTGCAGGACTCACTGCGGGGGCTTGGGAAGGCAGATTTAACAGCCCGGATTCTCGGGCCCTACCCCTGAGCATGTTCAAGACTTCTCTCCTTGCACACAGAATGTGCAGGGAAGCCAAAAAAAAGACCCAGTAATCAAGATCAATCATATTGTAATGCAGTTCCTTTTTTTTTTTAATCAAAATTAGGGGCACCAGGCTGGCTCAGTCAGTGGAACATGTGACTCTTGATCTCAGGGTTGTGGGTTTGAGCCCCACATTGGGTGTAGAGATTACTTAAATAAAATCTTTAAAAAAGAAAAAAAATCAAAATTAATGCCCCAAATCCACAATGAACAAAATATCAGAATTTTAGGTAAAGATGGGCTCTGCCTTTGCACTCACATGATTTGGCCCCACGTGTTGCTCCCACGTTCTGATCCTGCCCTGCCCCCCAGGCATACCCTGCAAGACCCCTCCAACTGGCTGAGGGCTAGTCGTCCAAGAAGTGCAGGTGGGAGCTGTTAGCAACTGGCACCCACAGCTGCTGGGGCATGAGCGCCCATCCCACTGAGGGGGATGAGTGCAGGCACCAAGACCACCTCCCACCGCAGAACCAGAGCCCTGTGAACTGAAGGTGATAACTTCTGATGTTGGTAAGCACAGAGTTACCTGGCGAGGGGTAACTGGGACCAGGGAGCGGTGGAGAGAAGCCACTTAAGAAAGTCAGGGAAGGGGGCCGCCTGGCTGGCTCAGCCAGAGGAGCATGGGACTCTTGATCTCTGGGTTGTGAGTTCGAGTCCCAGGCTGGGTATAGAAATGACTTAAATAAATAAAGTGGAGGGGAAAACAAGAGGGTCAGGGAAGGTCTCTCTGAGGAGGTGGACTTCAAAGGGGATCTGGGGGAGAGGTGTGGACAGCAATCCAAGCCGAGGGGACAGCTCAGGCAAAGGTTAAGAGGTGAGGAAGATGGAGACATTGTCCAGTTGTCAAGGGAGCACGTGGGCATGGAAACTCATCCCCGCTGGGCACATCCTTCCTCCCAGGGAGAAAACGCAGATCTGCAAAGTGGACACTGAGCAAACATTTCCAGCGAACTTCCTCTGAAATAGTCTTTGTCACAGCAGCTGGGGACAAGACAACCAAAAAAAACAGAACTGGACCCAGCCCCTGCCCCAGAGGTGCTGATAATCTGATGGAGGAAAAGACACTCGAGTAGACATTTCCAGACACGTGGAATGATGGGCGTGCGGGCACGGGGGCTGTTGGAGCGTGGAGGAAGATGTCAAAGAAAGCCTGGTTTTCACGCAGATTTCCATTTGCTAAAATGGCTTCACGTATGTTTTCCTTCAGAAACAAATAAAGTGTTCCTCCTAACGCAAGTTCTGTCTCTCCCACTCTGTCTCAGACCTCTCCCCATCCAGGCCTGTCAGCTTATAACGGGAATCTGTCCACTTGGGTCCCACACTGGGGCAGCCCCCAGCCTCTTGGTCCTGGATTGTTGCCAGAGCCTCCCCCCTGGTCTCGCTGCTCTCCCACCTCCCCTCTGCACAGCAGCAGAGGAGCCCCATTACAACCCCAGTCAGATAACGCTCCTCCTCCGCTCAGAGCACCACGCTTGCCACAACGTGGTGACAGCTCACCCACACACTCTCAGCCCTACCTCCCTGACCTGCTTCCACTGTCTCTCCTGTAAGCTCTGCCAGCCTCTTCTCTAGTCCCGGAATAGACCAAAAACAGTCCTACCTCAGGGCCTTTGCCCTTGCTGTTCCCGCCACCAGGAAGGCTCTTCCCTAGGTTATATCCACTCGCCCCCTCTCTTCATTCAGTTCTCTGCTCAAATATCACTTAAACAGGGGGACCTCATCTGACCTCTTCCCCCAGGCCTGTGGAAAGACCACATTCCCAGAACACCCCCCAGTGTCTTTTATTTTCTGTATTCTGATGCTTTGATAGCTGAAGACTTGCAGACCTTAGGAGGACTGCCCCTCCCAGGAGTCAACAATTCCTAGAGATGATAAACCGTGCACACACAAATGTGCTTTTCCCATACAGAACAATCCAGACCCCACACACAACCACCTCCTTTCTCAGGCTCTCACACACTAGGACACTCTCCACCTGCCCTAATCACCCCAGGGCCAGGTACACAGCCAGAAACGGCCCTCATGTCCCAGAACCTGCTGAAATCTTCCAACTAGCCACTCCTAAGCCTGCTTGAATGGCCTCGTCTCTTCCTTCCCT